GGAGGAGGAGGAGTAGGAGGAGGAGGAGGAGGAGGAGGAGGAGGAGGAGGGGGAGGAGGAGGAGGAGGAGGAGGAGGAGGAGGAGGAGGAGGAGGAGGGGGGGGGCGGCGAGAAAGAACGGGGCAGTGAGAAGGGGGGGAGGAGTGAGGAGGAGGAGGCCTCCTCAGAGGGCGGCGGGGCTCTGAGCCTTTTGACGAGGTTCTTTCGTGTCCTCGAGGACGGCTTGGAACGATCCTCAGAAGGAGGAGGCCTTCTCAGAGGCCTTCTCAGAGGCCTCTCAGTGTCTTTTCGACGAGGTTCTTTCGTGTCCTCGAGGACGGCTTGGAACGTTCCTCAGAAGGCCGGGGGGCTTCCGAGCCTTCTGGGAAGGCTTACTCACTCTCACGGTGGTGGGCGTGGCAGCGTTTATCGGCCAATGCGAGCGCCTGGAGTGGGGGGAAGCGGTGAGCAGCTCGAAGTCGAGATCGAACGTGTGGATGGATATCGCAGGATTGCGCGCACAGTCCGTGTTCCTAGCACATCCGCGCTAGGAGACGCTTGTTGCCGGTTCGTCAACTTGATGTCATCGTCGCTGCGCGGTGATCACGACAAGGCCAGTAAGCCACACCTCACACTCACACGCATCGTGCGATGTACACTCTGCAGTCGTGCGCAACTGCGAGGCTTGCCCGCCTAAGCTTGAACAGGTGTTGGAGGAGGCATCAGCCACATGAGTTGAATCATATAAATCTTTTCTCTCGAGGTGACAGCACGGCAGCCTGACGGGCTGATGTACAAGGCATCCTGCCCTACGGCTCTTTTTCGGACAGAACGTCAGGGATACTTCGTGTGTCAAGAAGCATGGCTCTATTCCATCTGGGCTGGATCTGACCTTGAGGCGACATCACTGCACGGTGTAGTCATTCCGATGTTGGGCGGCGCATGCGGTTCCTGCTTTGTGCTCCTGAGCGGGGAGTGCCGTTTCATTGTGTATGGCATCCCTGGTCATGACGCGGTAGCCGAGCCAGTTTGAGCCAGTGAGTGCCAACGTGCTCGGATGTCACATGGAGTAGTAGTTGGTGAGGCTGCGGGTACCTCCCTTGGGTGGCACCGCTTGCAGCCTTTTTGCAGCCTGTGCCGACGAAACCCTTTCACGACTTCCCCAAACCTTTGCCCTCGCACATCCCGCAACATGCAACATGGATCGCATGGATCGCCGGCTCATCCTAGTTCCCAGGCTCGGCTTTTATCCTTCGTTTTGCCATGCTAAGTCCTGTCCGACAACGCTCACGGGCACACTCTCCAGCAGGTTCGATCGAGACAATCGATGGGATGCGAGCCGCTCCTGGAGGGCAGTGCGATGCAGATATCCGATCAACGGACACGCCTGGACCTATTGGGTGTCAGTGTAAAACAACTTCAACGGGTTGGACGGAAGAGGGTCACATAATGAGGAAAGTCTCTGGCTGTGGGCACACCTCACCCTCTGCGCAGTGCCAACTCTTCCCGCTGCCGCTGCTACTGCTCCGCCTCCTCTGCCATCGTGTCTGTCGGCGGCGAGCGAGGGGGGGAAATGAGAAGGAGAAGGCCTTCTCAGCAGGCCTCCGGGGCCTTCTCCGAAGGCCTCCGGCCTCCTGAGAGGCTTTCCGTGTCTGCGGGGAAGGCCTAGGAAGCTCATCAGGAGGCCAGGGGGTCTTCCGAGCTTTCTGAGACGGCCCCTCCCTTCTCATTTCCCGCCCGGGTTCTCCGCCGAGTCTTGTGTTGCTCCCATCGTATTTAAGGACCACATCCCAACAAAAAATTCGATCTCCCAGAAAAGTATCGAAAGAGTGTCGAAACAGTGTCTCCCAGGGCCCGACACGTGAAAACCCTCGAGTTTTGGAGTGCGTCCGAAATTCTTTCTGGTGGTCACGGCTAAGGTAGGCTGGAACATCATAGGCCGAGTCTCCCTTTTCCCTCCTGCTCCCTCCCTTGCCCTCCCTCTTCCTCCTCTCCCGCCCTGCTCCCCTCCTCTTCTCGCCGGGCGCGCTCCCAGTGCTCGCAGGGTGCCTGCCCGCAGACGTCTGGAAAGGAGCGCGCGCCTTCCTCTCTGTGCAGTGGCTCGCGACTCCCCCGCGGCGGCTCCAGGCCACTTGGCGAGTAGCCACTTTGCGAGTCGCGGAACGCGCTTGCCTCCTCCTCCTCCTCCTCCTCCTCCTCCTCCTTGCCTCCTTGCCTCCTCCTCCTCCTCCTCCTCCTCCTCCTCCTCCTCCCCTTTGCGCCTCTGGCCCCCCGCCCGCCGCGTGCGCCCCGCCTCCCCCCCCCCTTCGACCCTGCGCCGCCTCTCGTTGGCACCGCCGCATCTGCAGCTGACGACGACGACGACGACGGCGACGACGACGACGACGTCGACGACGTCGACGACGTCGACGACGACGACGCCGACGACGACGACGACGTCGACGACGAGCTCCACGCCTACCAGCAGCTGGCCGCTGCCAGGCGCCCCTGAGGGTGAGGACGGACGGCATGGTCTACGCGTCTCGCCTGCTGGTCACAGGGGGATCTTGAGGGAGATCTTGAGGGGAATCTTGGATTATATGTTCGTGTGGGGGCCCTTTCTAGGACTCACCCACCTCATGGATCTGTTCGACACTGGCTAGAATACAGCTCGACTGTATTTCTACTCTTGCTCGGCTCATAGTCGACGGACGTTCGACGCAGCATCGACGCACGAGTGGCTTCAGGAAGGTCCCCAGATCGAGCATTTAACCTGGAGTACTGGATGGAGCGAGGGGGACGAGGAGGGGGATGCGGGGCACTCGCGCTGGACAAAGCTCCGCGGCCGCCTGGTGCATTGAAACAGTGTGCGTTGGGGGTCCGAGCGCAGCTCGCTCATTCGCGGTCAGGGCCGGGACGACTCCATCCGACCCGATCTCTTCGTTTCTTCCGAAGCCATCGCAGCTCAGGCGTTGGAGCAGATACGGTCTTTCAGGGCGCGGCCGTCACCTGGGAAAGAACGAGGGGGATGGTGGTGTCCCGAGATCCGACGTTGCGAAGCAATTACAACGTTGTGAAAACTGACGACGAGAGCCCTAGACCCAATCTCTCTGCGGCATTTTTCGAGCAGCATCGGTCTGTGATGGCTTGGTGGCCCAAGACCGGGCGAAAGCGCCAGGTGAGAAAACAACGCAGCGCCCGGACCTCAGGGGAGCCCAGGCCTCCAGCGCACTGGACAAAGATCCGGACGGAGGCTCTGGACCGTTTCTGCAGCTCGGGACGAGGAGTAGAGACGCCTCTGCAGGCCCTCGATGGGCCCCGTGGAAGGGTTCGAGGCTTTCGGGGCCGCCGCATTGAAGACATGGAGCGTCTGGATCTCAGGGGTGCCCCGCGTGCTATACATTTCAGATGGCTTCGACGTCTACCCGACTGGCCCTTCAGAGTTCTGCGCCGCCGCTTTCGAGCTTGAGGGTGGTACGTGCCCGCGGCTGTGTGCTTCGCGTGGTGTGCTGATAGCCCCCATGAGGGGAAGCGGATTTGAGCAGCGTGGTTGGCAACGCCTGTCATTCGCATCGTCTGTTCAAGCCGGAGTCCGAGGCCACTGCAGGTGTTTTTGCATGCGTCACCGTATGGAGCACTGGCAAAGCGAGCGAACCTCCAGGCGATTTCTTCGCGGAGCAAGAAACATTTCAGATGGCTTCGGGCGGGCGGCAACTGGTGGTGACAACAGAACAGGGGGGTGAAGAGAAGGACCCTCAAGGGGTCCTTTTGGGGCCCTTCTTGAAGCCGACAGTGATGGGCCCTCTTTCCACCACCACTACCATAGGGAGGAGAAGGAGGAGGAGGAGGAGGAGGAGGTGGAGGAGGAGGAAGAGGAGGAGGAGGACGAGGAGGAGAGGAGGAGGAGGAAGAGGAGGAGGAGGAGGAGGAGGTAAATGAGGAGGGGGAGGAAGTAGGATGAGGAGGAGTAAATGGAGGGGGGGGGAGGGAGGATGAGGAGGAAGGAGGAGGAGGAAGAGGAGAAATGATGATGGGAGGAGGAGGAGGAGGAAGGAGGAGGGAGGAGGAGGAGGAGAGGAGGAGGAGGAGGACGGAGGAGGAGGAGGAGGAGGAGGAGGAGGAGGAGGAGGAGGAGGACGAGGAGGAGGATGAGGAGGAGGAGGCGGAAGCGGAGGCGGAGGCGGAGGCGGAGGCGGAGGGAGTTCCAGGCCTCCCCGTTGTCCCCGCCGCATCGTCTTTTCTCCTCTTCCCCCCCCCCTCTCTTTGGCTCTGGGTCCTTCCAGGGGCAGGAGGGACTCTGTGCCCCTCCATCTGGAGGGCGCCCTCGGCCCATCTGTTTCCGCCTCCACTCCATCCCAGCGGCGAGGGCCGCTGGTGGGGGGGAGAAGGGCGGCGTTGAGATCGACCTTGGTGCCATCATCGAGTCGGGTCGAGTCGAGACGGAGGCCGAGGCGGAGGGAGGTCCCGGAGGGGGATAACGAAAACGATGAGAGAGGAACCAGGAACGGCCGGATCAGCAGCCCCCCAGGGCAGGCTCAGAAAGCACCCCGGGGCATCACGACGCGGTCGAAGACGAAGACGTCCCGCCGGCGCCGGATCCCGCAGAGTGCGGCAGGCACATGAACCCCTGGCGTCCTGACTTTTCCACGACGTGGGACCACCAGAGGTCTGAACCCCTCCCTGGGGACCCGCTGGTCCCCCGGAGCTGTTCCTGCACGGTCCTGGGGCCCTGGCGAGGACCGACCCCCAGAGGCCGAAGCCTGCCGAAAGCCTGCCGTCGGGTTCTTGCCGCGGCGCGAAGGGGTCTGGGCGGCGTGGTCTGCTTCGCTGTTTTTTCCTTCGCTGCGGCGCGGCCCGCCCTACCGTGCTCGGCGTTCGACCTGCTTCGCGCGCCCGCGCACCACGCCCAGCAGCAGCCACGCCAGCGACGAGAGGGAGGGTCGGTCGGAGGGGCGCGGAGGCAGCGCCCTTCGCCTGGAGAGGTGCGCAGTGACAGCAGCAGCAGTGGCTCCAGCTCGGCGCTTCGGTCTCTGCTGCGGGCTGCTGGTGGAGGGGGGCAGGCAAGGGGGCGGGCCTGCCCGAGAGGGGGGAGGCCTTCAGCAGCGGGCAGAGCCACATGCCCCGCGCCTCGTCGCGCGCGCCCCTGCAGGAGTCCCGTGCGCACCCTTCTTTTGTGTGTGCACATATGATATGTATATGTTTGGATGTATGTACGTAGGTATGGAGGAAATGACCAACAACGTTCGGTTAGGTTATGTTATGGTATGTTATGCTGATGTGTAGTATACCATGTTTTACGATGATATGTATGTATGCATGCATGGACGCATTTATGCATGCTTGTCTGTCTGTCTGTCTCTGTCTGTCTGTCTGTATTTCTGTCTGTCGGCCTGTTTCTGTATATACGCATATACATTCATGTGTGCACGCATGCATGTATGCATGCACGTATGCGTGCATGTATGCATGTATGTATGCATGCATGAATGCATGTTTTCAGGCATGCATGCATGCATGTTTGTATGCATGCAGTACGATCGTATGTATGTATGCATGTATGCATGCATGGCCGCATGTGCATATATATATGTACGTATGGATGTGTATACACATGCATGTTTGTATGTACATGTGTATGTTGGTTTATTACGTGCATGCATGTATGTTTACATGTATGCATGCATTTATTTTTGTATGTGTGCATGCATACCTCGATAAATGTATTCATGCATGTATGTATGCATGTGTATATATATATGTATTCATACATGCATGCACGTATGCATGTACGCACACAACTGCATACGTATGCGTACATGTATGTATGCATATACGTATGCAGGGACAAAATCAGATTTTTGTGCATGTATGCATCTATATATATATGAATGCATGTATGTTTGTATACGTGTATGTATGTATGTATTCATGTCTGCATGAATGTGTATATGTGTGTATATATATATATATGCATGTGCGTACGTACGTATGTATGTCTGCATGCATGTTAGTATGCATGCATGTATGCACGGATGCATGGATGCATGTATCCATATATGCATGTATGCTTGTATGTATGTATGTATCTATGTAATGTAAGATAATGTACTGTAATGCAGTGTAATGTAGTGCAATGTAATGAAATGTAATGTAATGTAAGGTAATGCGATGTAATGCAATGTAATCTAATGTAATGTAATGTAATCTAATGTAATGTATTGCGATGCAATGTAATGTAATGTAATGTAAGGTAATGTATGTATGAATGTATGTATATATGTATGCGAGTAGGTATGCATACAGGCATACATACATGCATGCATGTATGTATGCACGCATGTTTGTATACATGCAGTTATGTGTGTAGGTCTCAGTGTATGCATGCGTGTGATGTGTGTACATATGTATACATGTGTGTATGACACATTTCTGGCACATTCGCTTTTCTGATTCTAACAGCGTCCAAGACGGCCAAAGAGGCCCCCAAGAGAGCAATATGTCCCCAAGAGAGCTCCAAGATGGCCCAAGAGGGCCCCGAGACGGCCCAAGATGCACCCAGGGTCGCCCAAGAGGGCCCTAAGAGGAGCCCTAGGGGGGGGGGGAATTCGAACCGGCATTTCGAGAACCCCTACGAGGACACCGAAACCTGACCGGACAAGAACGGGAAGCGTCCTCTTGTCCCCTGGGCTTATGAGATATTCCACGTTTTTAGTACGGCATACCACAGCAGTGCCACGTACCACTGCCGTGCTTCTTTGGGGTCTGCCGTGCTCCTGTGGAGTTTGCCGTGCGAACGTGTGGTCTGCCGTGCTCCTGTGTGGTCTGGCGTGCTCCTGTATGGTCTGCCGTGCTCTTGTGTGGTTTGCCGTGCTCCTGTGTGGTCTGCCGTGCTCCCGTGGGGTCTGCCGTGTCCTGTGTGGTCTGCCGTGCTCCTGTGTGGTCTGCCGTGCTCCTGTGTGGTCTGCCGTGCTCCTTCTTGGTCTGCCGTGCTCATGTGCGGTCTGCCGTGCTCCTGTGCGGTCTGCCGTGCGAACGTGTGGACTGCCGTGCTCATTTGGGGTCTGCCTTGCTCCTTTGTGGTTTGCCGCGCTCCTGTGTGGTCTGCCGTGCTCCTGTGTGGTCAGCCGTGCTCCTGAGGCGTCTACGGTGCTCTTTTGGGGTCTGCCGTACTCATTTGGGGTCTGCCGTGCTCCTGTGGTCGGCCGTGCTCATTTGGGGTCTGCCGCGCGCCTGTGAGATCTGCCGTGCTCCTGTTGGGGAAACGCCAGCGGCGTTCGGGGTACAACAAAAAGGCGCGTTTATGTTGTACCCGCGCGCGGTCTGCCGTGCTCCTGTGGGTTCCGCCGTGCTCCTGTGGCGTCTGCCGTGCTCCTGTGGCGTCTGCCGGGCTCCTGTGTGGTCTGCCGTGCTCCTTTGTGGTCTGCCGTGCTCCTGTGGAGTCTGCCGTGCTCCTGTGTGGTCTGCCGTGCTCTTGTGGTCTGCCGTGCTCATTTGGGATTTGCCGTGCTCATGTGGGGTCTGCCGTACTCCTGTGTGGTCTGCCGTGCTCCGGTGGTCTGCCGTGCTCCTTTGGGGTCTGCCTTGCTACTGTGGGGTCTGCCGTGCTCCTGTGTGGTCTGCCGTGCTCCTGTGGTTTGCCTTGCTCCTGTGTGGTCTGCCGTGCTCCTTTTGGGTCTGCTCTGCCGTGCTCCTGTGGGGTCTGCCGTGCTCCTGTGGGGTCTGCCGTGCTCTTGTGGGGTCTGCCGTGCTCTTGTGTGGTCTGCCGTGCTCCTTTGTGGTCTGCCGTGCTCCTGTGTGGTCTGCCGTGCTCCTGTGTGGCCTGCCGTGCTCTTGTGTGGTCTGCCGTGCTCCTGTTGGTCTGCCGTGCTCTTCTGTGGTCTGCCGTGCTCCTATGGGGTCTGCCGTTGTTCGGCCGTCTTGAGGGCACTCTTAGGGCATAGTCTGCCGTGCTCCTCGTCTTGGTCTGCCGTGCTCCTCGTCTTGGTCATCCTTTCCGTCGTCTTGAGGGCGCTCTTGGTGCCTGGTCTGCCGTGCTCCTCGTCTTGGTCTGCCGTGCTCCTCTCGGTTCCTACGCGCGGTCTGCCGTGCTCCTGTGGGGAGCACGGCAGACCACAGGAGCACGGCAGACCACACAGGAGCACGGCAGACCACACCTCGATTTTTTGAGGATGTCTCGAGCGAAATGGCCGTGGTCTGCCGTGCTCCACACAGGAGCACGGCAGACCACCTGCTCATTTTCTGAGGACGTCCCGATCGAAAACGCCTTTTTTGACATAAAAGGTTCTAAGACACCTCTGTCGGCATCTCATTTTTTCGAGGATGTCTCGAGCGAAACGCTCATTTTTCATGCATAACAGAATTTTTTGATATTTTTCAACATCCCGATTTTTTTAGGATGTCTCGAGCGAAACCGTCATTTTTGACATACGACGTCTTAAACGATAGTCTCCAACACCTCGATTTTTCGAGGATGTCTCGAGCGAAATCACCATTTCCTGCTCATTTTCTGAGGACGTCCCGATCGAAAACGCCTTTTTTGACATAAGAGGTTCTAAAACACCTCTGTCGGCATCTCATTTTTTCGAGGATGTCTCGAGCGATACGCTCATTTTTCATGCATAACAAAAATTGATATTTTTCAACATCCCGATTTTTTGAGGATGTCTCGAGCGAAACCGTCATTTTTGACATACGACGTCTTAAACGATAGTCTCCAACACCTCGATTTTTCGAGGATGTCTCGAGCGAAATGGCCATTTTGGGGAATCCGCCAACGAACGGCCCCGTGCGCCCCCGCAACCCATAGATATAAAGATATATATATATATATATATATATATATATATTTACTCAAGGATTCAGCCAGAACGTCCCGCTTGCTTCTCGTACCTCGAAGACGCTTCCCGTCATCCGCCAGCAGGCCCCCAAGGACTCCCCCAAAGGATTTAAGAGGTCTAGAAGAGGCTCAAAAGAGGCCCCGAAAGGCGCCCCAAGAGGCTTCAAGACAGCCTCCAAAAGGCTGCCCAGATGCTTCCCTAGAGGCCCGAACAGGCATTCAATAGGTCTCAGGCGGACCCCGTACTGACTGCACGAGATTTCTTGCACGCCTCGAATCGAAGACGCAGACAAGCAAACACTTTCCCCCCTCACTCCTCGTCATCCTCTTTCTCCTCCCCCTCCCGCTCCTCCTCCTCGGCCTTCTTTTCTATCATCCTATGCCTCCCACGTTCAACATCCTTTTCTCTCTCACTTAGCGTCCTCTCTCTTTCATGCGCCCTCCCTCCTTCTTTCCCATCTTGCCTCCGCGTCCTTCCTCGTCCAGCTCTATTCTATACCCCCTGGAGGTTCCCAGAGCTGTGCAGAAGTTCCACGAGTGCCATCAGGCTGCCCCAGGAAGTGTCCAGCAGTACAATGAGGCGACAAGAGGCCGCCAGAGTGCCCTGACAGACCTCCAAGGGCCAAACCAGTCAAACTCACAAGGAATAGCAACATGTTTCCTTTCTTTTGTGGAGTTCCCATTTGTTGCCAACGCGCGGATCCAAGATGGTCTCGGAGGCTCAAACGGTCCAGACGAGAGTTGTGACATTGCCGAAGGATAGAATGACAAATCTTGAGTTAGAGAGGGGTTCGAACAACAGCTGCCAGAGAGGATTCTACATCACCGATAAATTCAATTCAGAACGCTGGGGTTGGGAAGGATTTGGAAAGCGCACTGAGCTGGGAATTAATTTAGGATTAGGAAGCATCTTTTCGATCGACAGCGCTTTGGTTGGGACGGATTTTTGGGCTTGAAGCGGTTAAGCATAATATTATTGTTTTGGGAAGGATTTCGGGGTTAGGGAGGATTTGAAGCAGAAAACGCGTGGGTTGGAAAAGGATTGCGAGGTTAGGAAGGATTTCAAACAGCACGCGCTTGGGCTGGGAAGGGTTCTTGGGCCAAGACAGATTTTACACAGAACACGCTTGGGCTGTGAAGGATTCTGGGATTCGGAAGGATGTTCAATCGAAAACCCTTGGACTGGGAAGGATTTTGGGGCCGGGGATAATTTTCAAAGAGACATCTCTTGGACTTGGAAGGGTTTTGAGGATAGGAAGGAGTTTGATCAGAAAACGCTTTGGCTGTGACGGATTTTGGAGTTAGGAAGGATT